GCTTTGTTTGTTTAGTTAGTTTGTGATAGGGTATAAGTGCTCACCAGAGAGTGAGAAAGCACCCCCTCCTCCAGGGGAAATAACCATACTGCAATACCTTCTCTCTATTCTCCTATCAGGATTTGGGGCACACACACATACCCAAAATCCTGGCATGTTTTTTAAGCTACCAGGTCTGGGACTCAAACTGTAGTCAGCCATTGAGATCCAGCCATATTAACCACCACGTCACTGGCTGGCCCAGCTATTAACTTTGAAGGGGGCCCAGAACAAAAGCAGGCTCTGCAGCAGGACCAGGCTGCTGTGCAAGCTGCTCTGAACTTGGATCATATGATGTGGTGTCAGTGGCAAATAGAGAAGTTGTTTGTAGCTTTTGATGGGATCTAAGGGTAAATCTCAATGAAAGACCTTAGAGTTTTGGAGAAAAGTCCACTATCCTCTGCAAATAACTACTGTGTTTTTTTTTTAGAAATAGCTTCTAATTCACTACTAGACTTTAGTAGAGACTGAAAACTTAGTCACCTTGCCATCTGAGAAGCCTAATATGTACTGGGTATTATCTGACCCATCAAGCCATAAGATCAATTGAGCAGCAACCCACCAACAAATGGAAGTGGTATATATAGAACTGGACACTCATTTTTGTGAAGAGGTGACCTGAATGCCCTAGGTTCACTGCTACCACATGACCTTCTCTCTCCTAGCCTTCATCTGGTCCTCATGGGGTGTATCCTATGATTAGCTAACAGAGGGGGAGAAAACTAGATGGTTCTGTGTGATATATAGGTACCATCCAAAAGCAACTGCAGCTACAGCCCTCTCTGGGATGTCCCTAAGAGTATGAAGGGAAATCTTCCCGGGGGAAGAACTGGTTGTTCACTTTGCTTAGAAGGAGACATGATCAGACATGTGACTATAAACAGATTAATAGACTGTGGTCACTAGTTTGGCCATATGTTCCAAAATTCGGAAGGAACATTATTGAAGAACTTGAAACAGAGAAATTTGAAGAAGAGGTGTGTGAATAGGCCTCCTGGAGTGGACAAAAACTGTGAAGAGGGTCTAGAGGGTGGTACAGAGGTAATGCAACTGGACTTGCAGAGAGAAGCTCTTAGGTTTGCGTTGTGACTTCCCTGAGCATATGGGGCACGCATGCCTGTGATCCAGGTCGGCTAAGCCTGGAGTGGACAGCAGCATGAAGACTATTTTGTGTTTCTCTCTCTCTCTTTCACTCTCTCTCATGGAGGAAATAAATAAATCTTTCATAAGATATGAAGATATTTGTGTCCTCTGTGAGTGCTCACCAAAGGGTGACCTCATCAGATGAGACTTTGAGATTTTAACAATCAGCTGGATAGGATAACCCCTTCTGTGGGTACCAGTCAGCCTCTTTTTCCAGCCATGCTGTCATCACCCAATGGTCTCATGAACAAAGTGGCTGTGGCAGCATGGAGGGGGTTATGCATAGGCTCAACATGGACTCCCACTCAATAAGGCTGACCTGGCTGTGGTTACCTTTCTGAGCAGCAAAGACCATCATTGGTTCTTCAATATGGCCCCATTTCCTGGGAGAAATCAGTCAGGTCCCTGGTAGCAGATTGATTACACTGGGTCACTTCCATCATCAAAGGGCAGCACTTTATCCTTAATAGAGTAAATATTGACTCTCCATATAGAATTGCCTTCCCAGGTTGGCCCCATGACCTGGTGGGGTCATGATCCTACATGGCTGATCATGCAGTTCAAGTCCCAGACTCAGCACCCTGAGAAATATGTCAGGTGCACGTGCATGTATGCCCCAAATCATGCTAAACATGATGGAAAAGTGGAGCAGAAGGGACTACACAGCATGATCATTCCTTTGGGAGTACTTTCCCTTATCCCTCCTTTGTCTGTCTCGTGCTCTCTGGGGAGAGCACGTGCCCTGCAGGAAAAACAAACAAACAAAAAAAAAAAGAAAAAGAAAAAACTTCCTTGTACACAATGCTTTTGTCAGAACTACTGACATTTTTTTCCAAAGTCACTATGCATTTTTGCATAGAAAAATACATCGTGGCTTTCCCAATGACCTAATACCGTCTGTGCTCTTATAGGATGCCTTACCCACCAGTGTGCTACTCTACACAGCATTACTTCTGACCTAGAGACTCACTTCACAGCAAATAAATTCATGGAATTCACCAGTCTTGCCATGTTCTACATTATGTAGAGCTGGCTGTTAGGATGACAGGATGGCCTTTGATATTTACTCTATTATGGGTAAAGTGCTGCCCTTCGATTATGGAAGTGGCCCAGTGTAATCAATCTGCCACCAGGGACCTGACTGATTTCTCCCAGGAAATGGGGCCATATTGAAGAACTCAATTCCAGTACCAGCTAGGTGGCAATCCCTTGCAAGGCAGGGCAAGATCCTCCAGGAGGCTGTGTTTGTTCTATCTGTGAACTAGCAGCAATAGGTGGTGCTGTTTCTCTGATGACCAGGATTCACAGATCCAGGAATCGGGGCTGGAAATGGCACCACCATCATCCCCCGTGACCCACTAGCAAAATTTGTTTCATTTTCCCACAAAGTTTTGCTCTACTGGCCTAGAAGTTTTAGTTCCAGAGGGAAGAATGCTTCTACCAAGAGACACAATGGAGTCCACTGGACGGGAAGTTAAGATGACTCCCTGAGCACCTAGAGCTCCCCTTGCTCCAAGTTGGCAGACTAAAGAACTGACTGGATGACTGATCGAGTCTGCCTAGAGGAACCCAAAATGATACTGCCCAACAAGGTAAGAAAAGTATGTCCGATTACAGGAGATAGTTAGGGCCTCTTTTGGCATGAGTATTTCCATGCCCTGTGATTCAGGTCAATGAGTAACTACAACCCAACCCTGGCACAACTACTGCCCTTCAGGAATGAAGTTGGGTCACCTGGCCAGGTAAACAACCATGACCTGCTGAGGCACTAGAGGCAAAGGGGGGGGGGGTTAGGGAAAAAAAGTTAAAAATCCCAGCCCGGACATGGACCAGTCACTTCAGATC